AGCTCTATCTCCCCCATCGTTCATGCCGAAATTTTGCTAATCATATTTCTACAACCATGTGCAAACTGCAAATGCGTAGACCACCAAGACGGCCACTTCTCATACTCTAACTGTCTCTGACGCCGCACTTGGGGAATGCGGGGTCTACTCCTTCATCTTGCCGTGGTTTGAATACGGCTCATTCAACCCTGTACACACGGACGATTAGCCCTGTGCTGCCACTTGTTTTACTCAGGATCCCCTACAACTAAACCCCGCCCTGTTTGTTGTCAACCACTTCCTCGTTAGCAATAGTGGCTTGTTGTTGAACCTATCAATAACATCCATGTACACAGGAAATTAAAAATGTAGCACATCTGTGCCGCTTGCTTTGGCTTGCACGATTCTCAGTATACGTACTGAAAAATCCTCCTATGAATCCGAAACACAAATTATGGCAGAGTGGAAATACTGCTTCTTGCGTGATTAAACGAAAAGTCACCAAATTCACAGCGTGATCGCTCGGACGCACTTCATTTTGCAGGCCATCTATCGTGTTCCATGGACAGTAATTGAGCCATGCTAGGGTAATCTTATCGTCGAAGCACGTGAGACAACCACCCAGCTCACGTTTTTCTCTTACCTCTCGTGCCTTTAAACTACAAAGTCCTATAGACCCACTCAACTTCCAGGATTGGTTGGCACTTATTTCTGTGCAACCTGTATTATCAGACAGCCATCCTTTTCTCCGGTCGTTATGCTACTATTCATCACAGCCACTAACGGGTAACAAGTTTTCCTGTGCAGTTTCTTCACCTACTTTTAATGAGCGTTACTAGCCCGTTTAAAACTCTGATGACATTCGATCTCTTTTTTGCCCTAGCGCTTTACCACGTAAGCATCTTACCTCCCAACCTAACCATTCGGTCACAGGAGGTAGCTAAGAAGACGCGTTTGCTTTTGAATTAGTGAACCACGCAGTCTCGGTTTACATTCAGCTTATTGTGCCCTAAAGGCAGCTGGAATAGATTCTGTTGAAGTATTTTAGAGTTTGAGGCTTTCGATGATTATCGAGGTGAAAATAAGTAAAAAAGTTCAAAAATTCCGACTTCGAGGAAGCTGGAGCAATTGCGTCGTTAAAAACGAAAACTTCTCAACCAGCGAGTAACAGATTTCAAAATGAACATTAAGCCATGTTCAAACATTGCACTCTGCGTTAATGTCTACTGTGTTAACAAAGGAGCTGGGTAGCTGTGGTATTTGGCTCTGATCAAGCTCCTCCAGCAGGGCGCTTGGACGCAGGTCCAATATCCTCCACGCTGGAGGAAACTTCATACGTCAGGTGTTAATTGGTGCTCCACTGGGATACAGCGACCACTTTGCGCACCACTTTGATCTCATCTGCCACTGAGCCAACACTCTGCATCTTCTAGCGTGGATTTGAAGCTTCCGCCAGACGGATCCCTCAAAAATACATGTCCTACATGACCAACTCTTACTGGGACCAGCTCCAGCAGAGGAGACATGCAGGACTGTTGTCCGGAAAATGTGGCGGACGCAGTATTTTTTCCAGGGACATCAGCGTGCACTCGAACGAAAAAAAGGCTGCCTAAAATGACCTTGCGCTGTCCGGAAACGAAGTCTTAACCACTCTTCAAAAAGATGATCACAGCACACACGGAAGAAGAATCGACATCTCGTAAAATGTGGAACTGCTGTAACTCATATCCCCGTCGATAAAACAAAAAAACAGGGAAGGATCCTAGACCTCGGATAGAAAAACTAAAGTGTGCAATTTACGTACGTGAGACACTGCCGAAGATCTAAACCAACGGTGTACTACTTAAGGAGCAAAAGCGAAAAACGCAAGCGGTATTCGAAGCCCACAGAGAGCACACTGTAAGCCCTTGTTCTGTCCATGCGGTCTCAAAACATTCAGTCTTGTGAAGACGAAACTACGAACGGCCTCTGACCGTCTTGGTCTTCAAGGAAGAAAACATTCGTCAACCGTTGCACAAGACTAACCCGTTCGGCGCGTTGGGACTAAACCAGCTTTACACTGGCTGAACATTTCTACCTGGTGTTTTGTCATTCGCTCAACAAAACAACCAAACCTATGCTTGGAAGGAAGCGATTATTACGTCAATCCACAAAACTGGTGACCACCTCACTCCTAGTAGATAGAGGGCTGTTAAACTCATTAGCGTGCCGTGCAAGATGATGAAACGCATTATAAAGCGGGCAATCCTAGATAACCTTACTATCAACAACAAGATACCCTCAGCGCGACACGAATTCTTCCCGAACCATTATTGCGTGAAGAACATGCTTGTATTTTCGGACCGCTTAAACCGAGCCAAGGACAGAGGACTCATATCGGATGCCATATTTTTCGACTTCCCAGGGGCGTTTGATCGAGTCCTACAAGTCCCTCTGCAACACGAACCAGAGACTTGCGGGATTCAAGGGAAACTTCTACATTGGATGAGGGCTCTCTTATCAGACAGAACGTCGTGGGTGAAAGTAAGCTCTACCTTTCCCCTCCGGTGCCAGTCTCCATTAGTGTTTCCCAAGTCTCCGTTTTGGGACCACTGCTGTTCCTGGTAAACGTAAACAACTTTACAGATATTCTTGCAAGTGCAGTATATTTATTAGCGAACGGCTTGAAATCTTGGAGTTCTAGCGCCAATGCCCTTTCAAATGGATGTAGATGCTGCAAAGCATTGGTCGTTGGACTGGCACCTTTCTCTGAATGATGAAGAGTGCGACCGCCTTTTTCGTATATGGTAAGAATGGACCAGAAGACACCACGGGGATAGATTGCAAAAAGGATTTGGGAATCTGGGCTTCTTCAAACATATCCTTCTCACTGCACTGATAGAAATCTGCCCAAAAAGCATTCACTGTTCTACGGGTGAATCGGCGCACCTTCTCTAATATTACTCGCCTGGACTTTCAAATACTCCTTGAGGACCAAGGCAAACAGCTCCTTGAATAGACCAACCAAATAGTCAACTGAAGACGCACGACGGACGTAGCCCTTATTGAGCGCGTCCGGGGAGCTGCTACGAAAATGGTTGCCGGCCGTGAATCCGCGGACTATGGACCGCGTCTCGTGGTGCTTGACCTCTTTCCCCTGGAATATCACCGCCTCCTAGGAGACCTATTCTTACTTATGCTCTGTTTGAACAAGACTTGGCAAGCAGTTTCTACCACTGATCCAGCAAACTCACGGCTGGGGCATGGTGATATTTTCAACCAAAGGGCGCACAGTTTCATTAGGCGAAATTCTTTCCATTTGGCGTATTTGCTGCACGGAATGCCCTTCCCCAGATGGTTGTCCACGTTCCATATACAGCCCAGTTCTAAGCTACGTTAGACAGTTTTTTATGCGAGTCCTCGTGCTGGCAAGCTCACTGTCCCGCGCTGAGAACTTAAAGGGCTGTGCTACAACCTTGTTTGCTTGTGCCTTTCAGGTGAACGAAAGCCGTTGAACGTCAATAATAAAACCGACAAGGGAAGATTGAGGAAAATCCTTGATTCTGCGTGTCGATCCGTAACCACGTGTATCCCTGAAACCGGTGTAGGTATTAAAACTCTCAGTCGCTTGACGAAGGCCGCCTTCCCGGATTTCTCCAAACCGCTCCTGCGTGACAAACATGCTCGTGTTTATGGGCAGCTTAACCCAAGCCAAGGACGAAGGACTAATATCGGATGGCATTTTTTCCGACTTCTCAAAAGCATTTGACAGGGTCCCACACGTCCCGCTGCTCCACAAACTCGAGTCTTACGGGATTCAAGGAAAATCCTTCGCTGGATCAAGGCGTTCCCATCAGACAGATCATTCCGAGTGAGAATAGGCTCGACCTACTCCTCTTCAGCGCCGGTCTCCATTGAAGTTTCTCGATGCTCCGTCTTGGGACCACTCCTGTTTCTTATCTACGTCAACGACCTCCCAGACGTTCTTGCGAGTCCATGTTTACTTTTTGCGGACGACTTGAAATCCTGGAGTTCCAATGCCAGTGCCCTCCAAATGGATGTAGACGCTGCCAAGCAGTGGTCGTTGGACTGGCACCTTCCTCTGAATGATGAAAAGTGCGTCCATGTGTCGTTTGGAGGGGATTCAGCGAATGCCTTTGTTATGCATGGTGAAAAGGGACCAGAAAACATCATGAGGATAGATGCCAAAAAAGATTTAGGCATCTGGGTCTCCTCAAACTTGTCCTTCGCACTACACCATGAGAAATCGACCCAAAAGGCATTCGCCGTTTTACGGATGATCCGACGTACCTTCTCCCGTATTACGGGAGACGTCAGACCGCTCCTGGAGTACGCCAACAAAGTTGTCTACTCAGGACGTACGAAAGACGTTACCCTCATTGAGCGTGTCCAGCGGGCCGCCACGAGAATAGTTGCCGGCCTCAAGTCCGTGGACTACGAAACGCGTCTCGCGACGCTTGATCTATTTCCCCTGGAGTACCGTCGCCTCCAAGGGGACCTAATTCTTACCTACGCCCTGTTTGAACAAAGCTTGACAAACAGGTTTTTTACCGTTGACCCAGCAAACACCCGGCGGGGACATAGTAAGAAAATCTTCAAGCTCAGGGCACACACATCCGTTAGACAAAACTTTTTTTCATTTCGGGTAGTAGCTGCGTGAAATGACCTTCCTCCGACGGTTGTACACGCTCCTTCTCGAACCCAATTTAAAACACTATTAGACATTTATTTATGCGAATCCTCGCGCTGGCGAGCATACTACCCCGCGCTGAGAACATAAAGAGCAATGCTACACCCTTTTTTCACTTGTGCCTTTCAGCCACTGACCGACAAGAAGAACACCGACCCGGGAAACTTGGGCAAAAGCCTCGATCATGTGTATCAATCCGTGAATCCGTGACTGTTGTTGTGACCGCCGGTTGGCTATATTTGACGGCTGCTAGCTCTAAACGTGAACAAACATTTCGGCTACAAACACTGGACTAATATATTCACGCTTGTGGAATAATATTNATTTATTTATGCGAATCCTCGCGCTGGCGAGCATACTGCCCCGCGCTGAGAACATAAAGAGCAGTGTTACACCTTTTTTTCACTTGTGCCTTTCAGGTGAACGACAGCCACTGACCGACAAGAACAAAACCGACCCGGGAAACTTGGGCAAAAGCCTCGATCCTGTGTTTCAATCCGTGAATCCGTGAATCCGTGAACCAATCAGAGCACTAGCTTTTCCACCACCCGCGCTGCTAACTGTCTAGTCCTTTGCCTAGTGGTGCAACGGCCCACGGTCATGCTAGTCGCCAAATCTGGAATATCCTGTATATCAAATGGCGATGACATAGGTCCACGAGCCCTCGCATCTATATCACCGTGGTCTCAGAATTAATCGTAAGTACGCATGTTTGGATTCTGGCCTGTCTCCATGGGGTATCAGCTTGTCTGATAATTTGTGGAAAACGTAAGCAAGAAATGCGAAATAAACTTGCAACAGGCTGGTGCAAGATCTGAGAAGTTGTCTTTATGTTGTCTTTATTGTCCGCACACGCTTAGTCTTTTTTCTTATCCGCAAAATCATAGAATGTCTTCATCCCGCAGATGAAGCAGCTCATTATCAATGAAGCAGCCTGACATCAATGTTCAACACAAATGCTGCGCTGCCGTAATGAAGGCAGCTTCGAAATTCCAACTACTGGAGCGCTTGAGGACTATGTGCATCTGCTCCGTTGTGATCAATTCAAACTTTGGCTGTGTGCACTGCACTCGGATACTCATTCGCATCTCATTGAATGGTTTCGCAAGTACACCAGAGGTACTTCAATGTGTCCCGTGAAATCCGTGAGAGAGAAAATGTAAGATCAAAAGGGCCTTCCTCTCTGGCTTCGACGTCAGTTTTATGTTTACTCAATTAGCTTCAGGAGTCTCAAGGATGAGTCTGTTCTCCACTTGTATGGGTGGCCAAAGCTTCTCATAGGAAGGAGCGACAATGTAGCTGGTTATGGATCTTGATGTCCGAGGGCGGCACCGATAGCTTATACCCGCCCCAATGGAGCACTGTTGATTCTCAGTTTTCCTCTGTTGATGATACAAGTTTTACTGTTCAGCTGGGTAGTCGTTCGGCGTCACCCGACGAAAGCACGAGAGATTGCTTAACCCTAGGTAACGATCTATCCTTTGGCAAAACGTGCCACCGATTCCAATCCTTCGGAACATCAGCGGCAGCGTGGTTGAACGCCCCACTAACCCCAATAATGTGTATAGTCTTTCGGTGCTCTCTTATCGTTCCTAGCCTCACAAACCGTCAAAAGATGAATGCTATATGGTCTGTTACTTATGAAGCTATATCGAGTTAGATTACACGTCCGCTATGAGCGTGAGACTGCGTCAGAGCCCTTTTGACTGCCCTTCATATGGTCTTGAGAGCAAGTCCTGGCCATATGAGGGTGTGATCGCCTTTGGAAAGTGATGTCATTATTTTCATACACACTCCTTCAGAAACAGCTCCTTTTTCGGTGGTAGGTTAAGCGCACATGCCAGAAGTGCTGCAACGATCAAAGCTAGCTCCCAGCTTACAAGGGAGCGCAGTCTGCCCAACCGTGATGTTTAGTGCAGTCAGAAGTCCTTAGCAATTAGTCTATGTCGCACACGTGCAATTTGTCCCTTTTAAGCACCCTTCCTATCGATCTTCGGTTAATGAACGAAACCCGAGCCCTTCAGTGTCGATATAGGTAGAATGTAGCGAGGGTTTTCGCGAATAAATAGATTTGTAGTGGCCTCAGAGGAAAGAAAGGTGCGGGCGTTTTTCGTTGGATTAACCACACTCATCCCCTCATTCGGCATGTGCTCTGTACCCATAAATTGCAAGAGCATTCTTCCGGACATGCAGCCACTGAACGCGGCACTTTAAATCCAAGAGGAAGCATGTGAAGTTGTTTGGCGTTTTAATTTTTCTTGGGAGCTATTAGTTCCGGTTGTGACAGCTGAGGTCAATGCACGAGCCTGTATGACTCGGGTCGCGTTTGTTAATGTGGAACACCCATCGCTTCATTGCGGCATATCTCTAAATCTCTTCTAGAATAGAGCCCGTGTGATCCTCACCATGCCTGGTTGGAGACACAAGATATGGCTGCTAACGGATGTCAGTGGCGTTGTTGTTATCAGTTTCTATCTAGATTGCCTGAGTGGGTGTCTGGAAGTGTATGCACCTTGGAATGATTGTGGTAGGCTGTCACTAAGTCCCTTTTCCATCCAGTTTCATTCCTTTACAATAAGGCATTCAAATAAGTTATGTTTATGTCAGTGAAGCATCAGTGTCGAACACTGATGTTATGCTGTCGAAGTTGATGCTGCCGACCGCTGATTACGATGGGTTCATCAATGGCACATTTGGTTTCAAGCTGCTGCCCGGGGTGGTTTCCTGTTTGCTCGTATACACATAACAGTCTTTCTTCCACTACTATATCTAAAAACAGTCACTCGTGAAGATGTAGTTGTGTGTTGACCAACTGATGCGTATGGAATCGAAATCTCCCGTAGTGATCCGGTTGTGTGGTTACTGAGGGTTGTGTTCAGTATTCAGTACCAATCTGAACGTAGAGCAAATGCGGGGTTTGAAAATAGCGGTTTTCGTTTTACTCGCCTAATAGCTAAAATAAGTGAGCTGAACCTCCAGAGCAGGTGAGTAAAAAATCGAATTCGTTCAACTTAGCACCCTTTCGGTGCCCAACTGCCATGTCACCAGAGGGAGGCACGAGGGCTGGGATACTGCCAGGTTTCCCAAGCGTAGATAGGGGAAGTCGAGAGGCAGACCAGGTTCCAACCACGCTCCATCCACTGAACCATCGCGCACCAGGTGAGTATAAGTGAGTGTGAATGCAACAGTTAAGGTAATGCAGTCGTGATATTCACCTTTGTCGGCACTGGATATGAGATTAACAAGTCGGGTGGCTTTACATCATCATCATCATCCTCCATCCACCCATCGCGCACCAGGTGAGTATAAGTGAGTGTGAATGCAACAGTTAAGGTAATGCAGTCGTGATATTCACCTTTGTCGGCCGGCAATATGAGATTAACAAGTCGGGTGGCTTTACATCATCATCATCATCATTCTCAGCTGTAAGAACCGCGTACTCGTCGTACACTGGTTGTAGCTGCCACAGTTTCGTTCGCCGATGATTTGGGGGTGGGG